ATATATATATATATACAGTAAATGATTTAACCAGGTAGATCTCCCTTAAATTTAGATTTTTATGGGAGACTTTAAAGTGTCACTTAAAAAAGGAGATTTTAAGGTCTAATTTTTTTACCTATACATGTTTATTGTATATCGTGATATGATATACATTTTGATGAGTGGCGGTAACGATATATATCACGATATAAAACTTTTAATAGAAAATAAATAAATCACACATTAATTGAGTGGAATAAACATGTATATCATGATGTGAATTTTTTGCCATATCACACATTCCTAGTGTCTGGTAATCTTCTGGGGACGCTCACTTGATGTTTTGTGACCCACAAAGAGGTCCCGACCCCAACTTTGGGAACCACTACACAAGATGAAATATTAACAATATTCTGCACACAGAAAATATTGTCATGTTGACTCTGAGGACAGTTCCATGGGTCAGCTGGGATTTTAGTGCTTTAGAATTAGGGGACCTAAATATTAACGTTAGTGCAACTAATTTTTAGATTAGTACTGCCCACCACTGTCGATAATTTTGGATTAGTTTTTTGTTTTACCTGTTTTAAATAATGACCAGAAGAAAAAAAAGTTGCTGCCAAACTCAAATTGATCATTTCTGTTGTTGTATATGTTATTGTTTTTTTTTTGCCCAGATCTAACGTGACAAATTCTTTTTTTCCTCCAATCTGACCCAGGTCTTATCAATATTTGGTACTAAATCTGAAACATATCTTATGTTTTTCATAGTCTGATTGTCATGTCATGACGTTGTTGGAACACATCGATACTAAAGTTGTTGGATCGATACGTTACGCACGTTCCTTCCTTCCATAAATACACGCTGCACCGGAGCAGCCAACCAGAGGTTTAAATGAAAACTGAACTAAACTAATCAGCTCTGATTGCACAACATCAGAACTAACATGCTAACATGTAGCACCCAAGAGTGAGCCGAATGTGACACCACGTCATCTTCTGTGCATGTGGGTTGAATTAGTGCCACGTAGAGCTCATACTGGAGTCTTACAGTGGTCGCATTTAAAATATAATGTGAAAAAAAAAGCAAATAAGTCAGATTTGAGTATTAAGACCTGCAGTGTAAACGTAGCCTAAGCAGGTTGTTGTAATCTAAAGTAATCCAACAACAGCTGATCCATAAAACCAACACAGAACGTTAGGAGTTCCTCAAATGTCAAAACGAGGCTGGCTTTAATTTGGTCGGCTGAATTTTAAAACAATTTATTAATTTCTAAACTTACAAAACTAAGTTTGTGTGTGTTGAGTGACATGGTGGAGTTGCTGTTCAACTTTTACGGTTTTATTCTGCACTTTCAGAGTTCACTTTATTATTTTTGGTATAAAACAGTGAACACTCAGTAGGGGGACAGAAACACAACTTCAGGGGCAAGAATGAGTCAGGGTTGTGTTTACAGATCTGTTTTTTATTGCTCAGCTTCCTGTGTTTTTCAGGCTTTGTGTCGTTTGTGAAGACTCAGACACTGAACTGTTGAATAATGTGTAACAAGTATAAATAATAAGAAGTAGCAGTGGCTGATTAACTTGCATTACTTGCCGATTCTTTTTTATTTCAAGTAAGAAATTTGATCCTAAATCCTTTTAATTCTCCTAAACCAGTAACAAAAAGCCAAAGTTAAACGCTCAGGTATTTATTCCTGACCCTTTCAGAAAAACCAAGATGTGTTTCATAAACTCTTAGTGACTCATGAAGTTGCTTCTTTCTTCAAGATGTTGTCACATTTATTTGTTCGTTGTCTTGTTTTGAAACGATTTGCAGCATTTTATGATAATTACGATTTCAGCCTCAGTTGAAGAACACTTAGCAAACAGAAGACGGAGCAGTGACTGTGTGTGTGTGTGTGTGTGTGTGTGTGTGTGTGTGTGTGNGTGTGTGTGTGTGTGTGTGTGTGTGTGTGTGTGTGTGTGTGTGTGTGTGTGTGTGTGGTGGGGGCTTGCAGGCTGCAGGCCCAGCAGAAGGACTGGTTGGCCTCGCAGGCGGAGCTGCTGGCTCAGGGCTCTGTGCTAAAGGCAGAGCTCAGCGCCGCCCAGCTGGACCGGACTCGGCTGGAGGGGGATCTCAGCGCCCTGAGGGAAACCAATCAAAGTCTGGACCTGAGCAACGCTCGACTCACCAGTCAGTACCAGGTAATGAGATCCAAACTCTCAGAGATGGAGCCACGTCATGCAGAAACACGCAGGTGTTTTATAACCGGGCAAAATGAGATTTAATGTCTCCTAAATGGAAACACTCAAGATGCATTAACCAACTGGGATACAAACAGAATTATCTGAAGCATTATTCGACAATTTAGAAGAATTTAGGAGGGAATTTGTTGCAGTTTTGAGTGTTTCACAGATAAATCAGGAAGAAAAAGCTATAAAATCATAACAGGGAAGCAGTGGCTGGTTGATCTCTAATCCGTGATATAAAAACCCATTTTCAGCTTGACATATCGTACAGAAATGATGTATTTTTCCAAACAGAAAATGAATACTGAGCAGCTCTGAAGGAGTAGAGGCATTTTTGCCATCAAAGAAAAAGCTTTAGTCCTCTACGTATACTACTGCCAGAAAGCACTGAACGCTAAAACATGTTAAACACATGTTGAGGGAATGAAACAGATGGAAACTGACTTTCTGTAAAAGGTTTACGAAGTCAACTAGCAGATGTGATGTTCACCTGCTCCATCCAGCAGCTCATGAAACCACTTCTCAATCACCTGGCGCTGTAAAAAGGACTGCTAAAAGGCATTTCCTAAACAAAATGAGCAGGTTTTTATTCACAAAAAGGCTCAGAAATTGGTTCTGGAAATTACATATGCACACACCAAATTGTTTTTTTTTAAGTGACTGCACCACATTTTCACAACTGCAGTAATGATGTAATTACATTCATTTTTAAAAAATTGCCTACAGCTTGCTGGAATCAGGTTAGCTTAGCTTAGCACACAACCTTTGGGCAAATAGTTAGCTTGGCGTTTCATTAAACTAGAATACCATAATTGAACAAGTTACATTTAATTTAATGTGAATATAGATATTACACTGAAAAATACACATAAGGAATGTTATGTTTGATTATTACTTAGTAGATGTGACCAGGCTAGCTGTACTACCTATTTACTGAAGCTAAGCTAATTTGGAATCAGATTAGTTTAGCAACACAACTTTTGGGCAAACAGTTAGCTTGGCTTTACTTAAACTAAAATAACAAAAAATTAACAATTTACATTTATTTTGATGTGAATATAAGTATTACACACACACACACACACACACACACACACACACACACACACACACACCAATTATTATTTAATACTTGTTGTAACCAGGCTAATTGTGTTACCACTTTACTGAAGCTAAACTAATTTGCATTCAAGTTAGCTTAGCTTAGCACACAGCATTTAGACAGTTAGCTTGGCTTTACATTAAACTAGAATAACTAATAATTACATTTGGTGATCAAGTTATTGATTAATTATTCTAAAAGTGATTGATCTTATTAACTGACTAACGATTAATTGATAAGCAACCATTTTCTTAAAAAGCTGAATTTTTTCAAATCAAGCGGGTCTTAATTTTTTAAACGCTGAATATAAAAAAAGAAGCTCAATATTATATTTTAACAAATTCCTGTGCCAGTTGTATGAAATACTGACTGAATAAATTAAAACTTACGGTTTCTTCACACATTATAAAAATTGGATATATTTATAAAATATAAAAAAACAGAAATCTATTAGCTGAATTAAAAAAAGATGAAGAGTGTGGGCATTATCAGTTAATCAAATGGAATGAATTTTAATCTAATAAATCATTATTCGACAATTGTTAGTTGATTAATTGTTTGCATCCCTAGTTACAACAAATGACTTTAGGTATTATATTGAAAAATAAATGTTGATTTGATTTTTACTTAAAACTTGTTGTAACCAGGCTAGCTGTGCTACTTCCTTACTGAAGCTAAGTTAATTAGATGTTAGCTAGCTTGTTCAATTTCCACAGCTAGTTTAAAGGCACAGTGTGTAGGATTTTGTCAATTCTTTTAGCCGAAATTGAGATAATCACCAAAGACAATAATAAAAAACATGTCTAATCATTGCAGACAAAGACCTTGTTTTATTATTTTTACCTTATAAAAAGCTGTTTATATCTCCATGGTCGCGAGTCGCCACACAGGCAGCCGCCATCTTGTCTACGAAGGCTCGTGAAGGACAAACTGCGGTGGCGGCGTCAAAAACGGTTTTAGTTGTAATACTATAAATGTAATATTTGTTGTCTGTCTGCTACGTTTACATGGACAAAAGTAATCAGATTAAACGGCCGTTCGGAATAGAAATGCATCATGTAAACAGCCCGTTCTGATTATTCTGATCCAATTGAGCTCGATCCGAATAAATTTTTAATCCAAATGAAAAGGGTGGGTTATGCCGGTTGATAATCGGAATGAGGTTCGTGTAAACACTTAATTGGATCATCTTATTCTGATTGTAGAAAACTGACCTGTGTGCATGTCTGCTGACTTTCATTCACCCGGTGGGACAGCAGCGCTCCAGCTGCGCAGCACCGTGCAGAACTTTTCCTCCTCGCTCTCTTAACAGATGAAAAAGGAGGCAAACAGCAGACATTGATTCACAAAAAATAAAAATAAAAAGCACGTTTTGCTTCATCTGCAGGCTGCAGCTCAACCGAGGAGTAAAGGCGTCTCTACAGTTAATAAAAGCTGACACGGGCACAGAGGAGCTTTGTTTATGTTTGTAACAAGGAAGTAGAGCTGAAAGTTTACAACACTGTGCATGTCCGGACTTTTATTCTGAATAAAACTCTGGTGCATGTAAACACTTTTCATGATCAGATTGTGTCCATGTAAATTCGGATTATTTAATCTGAATGCATTTCAATCCGATTAAAAAATTTTGTGCATGTAAACATAGCTGGTATAATTTTACTTACTAAAGGTCATAATCTTACCACTTGAAACATCACTAACCCTGAAGCTGCTGGTAGACATCGCGGTTGGAATTATCAAAGGTTTTTGACACCTGAGAGACACCGTAGCGTTTGGAAGCGCGGGGTGGGGGTGGGGGGAGGACCAGGTAGGATGATTCAACCACTCAGCCACTAGATGTCGCTGAAAACAACAAATCCTACACACTGTGCCTTTAACTGGTGCATTTTTAGGTGACTGTGGGTGCTACATTAAGATAAATTGTTATATTAGATTTGTTTAATTACTTTTATCTTGGCTAACTGTTTCTACCTCTGTATTGGAGCAAGCTAATGCTAGCTGTATCATATTTTATGTACATTTCACCTGTTTAACATAACATTTAGCATGAAGGCTAATAAAGTATTCCCCAAGACATCACAATGTTAATTTATATGTCAGAGTAATACCTCAAAATAAAGACAAAGAGTTGTTTTTTCCTCCTGCAGCTAGTTATGCACCTTGTTTTATGAGAGCTGTTTCTTTCCAGATCATCTTTTTGTCAACTCAAGTGACTTTTTTCTGCCGCCTACAGAGTTATTTTAGCTACACGTGGTAGTTTAAATTCTCAGTTCTCATTATTCAGGAATGCTGAGGGGGGAAAAAAATGAAGCAAAGTTCATCTTTGAGTCTGTGTGATCCAGCAATTAACCTGGTACAGCAGCAGCACTGCTCAGTGACGGGGCTGCGTTTGACAGAAACGACTGCAAGAGAACAAAATAATTGGACACAGATATACATGTAGGCAATTAGCAGAGATATTCAGTAAATGTTTGGTTGCGTCTTCGATAAAGCCCTTTTAAAAATGTGAGCTATAATAAACTTCAGTCATTTACTCAGATTAACTCTCCTTTTCCTGTTGTGTTGGATGTAAACTCTACACTGCTTCCTATGTAAAAATCAGTAACTGTATGCTTCAGTCAGCCTTTTAATGCTTTATTTTCTTAAATAAGTTTTGAATTGTTGTTTTGACAGTTTGGTTTAATAAAGTACTTTTGTCTTCTGTCAGCAAAAACATTTGAAACCGTTACAATACAGCGGCTAATTGTTCATTGTATAGCGGTGAAAAGAAAATGTAAAGGTAAAGCTTGATGGTCCTGAATAATAAATGTCAAATATGTTATTAGTTTTATATTTCTGTTTTATCAATACTAATGACGTCTAATCACAGTGCTTTAACTTACATCTGTGCAGCTTCTGACACAGCTGAAGAGCAACATGGAAGAGGAGAACCGACACCTGGCGGAGCAGAACCAGAGTCTGCTGAAGGAGAACCGGGCCTTATTGGAGCAGAGCCTGGAGCGCCGCGACCTGCACTACTCTCAGCAGAGAGAGTACCAGTCAGTACACACACACACACACACACACACACACACACACACACACACACACACACACACACACAC